CTTAATGTTCGATATAAATCCAAATAGCATCGAGATTATCTTATATTTATCTATTGATTTATACAACTGAATTCTCAATCCGACATATATCACACATGACAGATCATCGATCTCAATATCCATTTTACTTTAAATCATTGAAGTGTGGTTTTCTCTTTATACCATTATAAAATATTTTTTTGTATATTATACAGTTTTTTTCATAAATATTATAACTTGTATGATATTTTCTATGATCGATATCCATACTAATTACATCAGTGTAGTTTTTACAAGTCCAATCCTATGTTTGATTTTATGACCCAACATAAAAATCAATAGTCAAAAAGTAGGGACAAAACCAAATTCTATAAAGTCTTCAAGTGGTCGTTTGTGGGCTGCCATTTCGAGTTGGGTCGATACACTCGAGAGGGCCGCCTTTTTAGATCTTCAGTTAAATCAATTTGGTCTTTTTATATTGCAGTAAAATTTTTTAAAAAAAAGTTTATTATCTTCAGTTAAATCAATTTGGTCGTTTTATATTGCAGTAAAATTAAAAAAAAAAAGTAAATAAACTGGAAACTAACCTAATAAGATTAGTGCATGTGCAACCAGTTAATGAGTGTTATTACATCCGAAAGTTGTCACCTCATAATCTCAAATTCCATATCATCACACGTTGTTATAACATCAAGTGAGAAATGAACAAGATGTTATAATACCCTCAATTAGTCAATTTTCCATGTCATCATTTTTTTTGTTCAATTTATTTATTTTCGATTTATTTAATTTGTATTTTTCCGATTTGTTTTTTTTTTGTTCTTTTATTTACGTTTTAATATGTATAAAAAAAATAAAACATGCAATTTAATTAAACCATAAATTACACATAACATTTAAAACTAAAAATAACTATACAAAAAAAAACATTGAACGAAAAAAATAGAAAAACGATATAATAGTCCTAATCCAAATATTTCTCTTCGACCCTTTCCTTCGTCATTTGAAGAATTGCAAAATCGTTCATCATTTGATCTTCGTCCGCTTGCCTACGAAGGAACTCCAAGTGTTGATGTTGCACTTCAACCTTTTGATGTGCGATTAGATTGTGTTGGTCGAACTTTTCTTTGATTTCCGCCAACTCTTGTGCCCTTCTCTCGGCTTCATCCGCGTGTCATTGAGCGCGCTTTGCAATGTCGCGCCCGGCCAGTCGACGTAGGTGGGGGATATATCTTTGATGTCGTCGGAGATGTCATCCGTGTCGGCGTTGAGATCAATGTTAGTTCATGCGTTGGAAACGTCAAACGAACTAGAATTGCGAGACCTCTTTGATTGTGCCTCCAGCGATGTTTGAACTTTAATCCATTTTGGATCTATTCTGAAAATTTACCATATTTTTTCATACTCAAAAGCATACCCCATTTCGACATGATATTGTTCCTTTGCGTATTTGAACACATCGAATTCATTCGCACCACTTTGCTTTTGTGAAGAAAGTTTCATGAAAATCCCATTAAATTTGGTGCATCGACGATTGATTGGACTCCATTTGCTACTAGCATATTGATATTGTGATATGACTGTTTCTTTAAACTCACATGAAATTTTCCGAGCACGGCTTTCCAAAACCCAACTCTCTGCATATCACTTCCTACAGTTGGATTTTTTGAAGTCCCGCACCACGCCACCGCCAACGTGTACTCTTCCTCTGGTGTCCACCATAATGGAGGTTCTACTTTAATTTCCGCCATCGCTTTCCTTTTCCCTCTACCTTTCTAACGGTCTCCCACTTGCGCTTTAGGAACAGTTTCTTGCGTTGGTTGTGTGGTTGTTTGTGGCATGGAAGTGAAAGTATTGAAAATGTTTTGTTGCATATAGGACGAAGTAGGATATTGCATTGGGGGTAAGGCGGGATTATAAAGTTTCCTTGAAATGATATTTGTGGTGAGTTTTGAGAGTTGAGGAGGTTCATATAGACTTTGTATTGTGCGAACCTCATCGGAGCAGATGTGTTTGTGTTTGGTGGATGGGTGTTCGGGTTTTCCTCCATAGTTGGTTGAGAAAATTTATGATTGAATTTTATGTAAATAGAATGAGAGAATGGTAGTAAAATTTTGTTGTGTATATAAATGTAAATAGGTAAAAAAGTATTTTTTTTTCATTTTTTACCATTTCGTTTGAAATTGCAGACGTTAAGGCTCGTTATCGTGACCATGAAAGACCACATTACGGTTTGGTGGGGCGGTGTTTTACGTGTTACCCAATGTTTTGAAAATCAGACCGGAGACTGAACCGGTTTTTGCCAGTTCACATGAATATCGGTTTTTTGGTCTTTAAGAACCGGACCCGAGACCGATTCCCAGTTGAACCGGTCGAACCGTCCGGTTCGGTCTATGTTTCAAAACATGGGTGTTACCACGCCGTTGAAGGCGTGCCACATCGACAATAGCGGTGCATAACGCACCCATACTGCATAGTCTAATTTTTACAATTACAGAATGCATCAAACTTACAAAAAAAAATCGATCTAGCAACCAAACATCACACCGTAGGTCCAAGGGTATAAACGACAACACATAATAACCATACCAACAATGTAAACTATTATTGTTTGTTTTATAAATCATACATGCAGGTTTTTTTTTTTTAAATAAATAAAAGCATACCTTCCATGTTATCCACCCTTGCATTATAAGTACCAACATTACCTTTGTTATCATTAAGGTTCTATTTATATTTCATAAATAACAACTCACTTTATTTTTACAAAATCTATATTTTGGCAATCAAGTTTAATTCTAACTAGTAACCCCCCCCCCCTCGTCACGTCATTGGCGCGGGTTCGAATAAGTTTAGCGAAATCTGTGGAGGCATGATTGAAATTTGTAAATGTCATGGTGTTTCTAAAATGATAATAATGAAAACATAAACTTTTATAACATTCTTAAGAGATATAGTACATCCATGTTGAAAGTGTAATATTCATAACTTTCCTACATAACCGAAACTTGAAGAAAGAATTTACCAAAAAAAAACATTAAGAAATGGGAAAATTACAAAAACGGACCCGGGCTTTCTGATTTTTACTATGTTAAATCCAAAAATCTATAAAATGACCATTTACCAGTAAAAACTGAAACTGGAAGAAAGAATTTATCAACACACCAACTAAACAAAACAAAAATGACAGAATTAGTTTTGTATAGGGGTCAAACCTGCCAAAATAAAAAAAATCTTACACATATTGACTGTTTTTGAAAAAAATTACATGGGCCTTTTTCTATAAATTAAAAAATTTTAGGGACTAAATCTATTAAAATGTAAAATCTCTGTTGCAAGGACTAAATCTGTCAAAATGGATAACCTTTGTTGTAGGGACTAAATTTTCCAAAAATATAAAACCTTTTTGTAGGGACTAAATATGCCAAAATGTAAAAGTTTTATGGCAAAACTCTGAAAAAGGAAAACTATACTGTTCTTAAGGGCTATGTGATTTAATAGTGAATTTTATGGTTACATGTTTAAGGGTTTCTTTGGTTTTTTCTCGTTTGCTGGCTCTATTTTGTGTGTGTATAATATTTCAAGGAGAGTAGGGGATCAAAAGTGTCAACTGTACAAACTAATGTGGCACAAACTTTAGGGGTCACCTTTGGTAAATGATAGGGACCAAAAGTGGCAAACTCTTGAAAGTTTGTGGCTAAATTATGAATCATGAAAAATTTAGTGTGTGTAATGATTGAAGAATTTGTGGCTAAATTCTTGAAACATCCCAAAAATCACAACAAATTTTAACTTAAAAAAAAAACCATAAATGTGTACAAAACCATTGTTTCAAAAGTGTATTTCAGTAATCAGAGTATCCCAAAATCCAAATAACATAAAAGTAAAACTGAAGGATGTGCATGGTCACGCCTTCGCCTTGCTACATTCATCTAAAGTACCTGAAACAATAAACTGAAACTGTAAGCCAAAGCTTACAGTTCCCCCAAAGTACCAACACACAAAACATATAACAACATATACTGGGTCCACAGCTAACAGACTGGATTACCCCTAAGCCCACAGTATGAGTTTGGCTTGCCCTTCAGGCCCACGACTTATGTCCGGCTTGCTCCCGGGTTTGTTGGCTACCACACGAAGCAGTATTACCTCAACCCAACCATACAATGTCGACATATACATAACAGATCTAGCATGAAAGAGGTAAAAAGGCCAGAGCTTTATGACTTACAATGGTCCAAAAGCTCTACAAGAAGGTGAGGTAGAAGTTGGATTGCCAAGAGGTTGCTCCACCAAGGTATTCTTCTACTTCAATGAGTCAAAAACCACCAAAGAGTGCTTCAATGTCACAAAAATGGCTAAGGACTTCAAGTAGGTCAAGATTAGGGTTTTCAGGATGCAAGAGAATGGGGGAGGCTAAGGATGGGCAACCCTAGCCCTCACATTCCATTAAATACCCGAATATTAGGGTTTCGGTCGTCATATCGTTCTCACGTCGTGAGCACTCAAAGTCTCACATCGTGAGACTTAAAAACAAGAGTCAATGGTCACTCACGTCGTGGCCCTCATCCAAAAGCTATAAATCAATAAATAAGTACGTCCAAGACCCGGACGTTACAATTCTAATCATCAAAAAGTTATTATTCTTAAGAGCCATGATAAATGGACTTTTCTGTAAACTAAATAATTGCTGCGACTAACTCTGCCAAAATATAGAACCTTTGTTACATGGAGTAAATTACAGGGACTAAATGGTTGGTGGAGAATTGTCCTCGCAGTCTGCACCATTTTTTGAGTCCTTATTGGAACCGAACCCTATATATATATATATATATATATATATATATATATATATATATATATAATATATGTTCATATATAAACTATAATTATGACTAATTGTAGACCAATCATTTGAGAGGGATATATTAGTAACTTTTGCTATGTTTAATTATAGTAAAATAATTAATTCCTTAAAATTTTCAATATATCTCATACGACATTTCCCTTCCGTTATTCATCCCTAATTCTTTTTCACCCAATATCCCCCCTTCATTCACCCTCTTTTCCGGCGACATATGTCCTCGATCGACGGCTCCCCTGCAATGACACCAGCCTTTAATGTCAACTTCCCATGGAGGCATGACTACATCGGAATTTCGAAAGCATCTCGGACTGAGATCTTGTCTCAGGTTCCCCACCAACGTCTGCAAGGCTCTGATCCTTCCGTCAAATGAGCTTCCAAATGATTTTGATCGGAGAGACCATGGTCCTGATGTGAAGAATCAGGTACTCCGATTTAAATAATCAGTTCATGATATTTTGTTTCTAATTTGATTCCACTTTTTTCTGAATTCGGAATTCCCATTCACATTCATTGATTTTCTGGAACAATTTTCAATGTTCGTGAGAATGTTTTTATTCAAGGAATCCAATTGGCATTTGTCTTGGTGTGACTTTGAGTTTCTTTTCCATGTATCAAATTTATAATTCTTCAATTAATGTTAATTGGGCTCTTTGGAGAGGAGGACGATTGAAGACTATTTGAATTTTTTGGAGTTTGAACAACATATTAGGTAATTTACTAACTTAATTTCTCATTGAGGATTACGGTTTGCATATTGATCAACTAATTAAGTTGCATTTGTGTGCAAAATCTTCTTTGGTCATTTCTGGTAAGGATTCATGGATGATTATACTTTCTCTTTGCTTTTTCTTTTGTTGAATTAAGTAGTTGATGAATTTTGCTATTTGAATCACTCTTCTGCTTAAACAATGTTGAAGGGGTAGAATCTTTAGCGATTTGTGTCTATACAAACTACTTTTTTAGGTTTATTGATTTTATATTATATTAAACATACCAAATCGTTGTTAATTTGTTCTTATGCTTATGATATATTGGTATATTTGTTTAATGGTTCACACATAATTCTTGTATTTAGGTATTATTATTGTTTTTTGCACTCTAATTGTTTGACCAATAAAATATGCTTTTAGTAACTTTCATTATTTGGTGTAGATACTATTTAACCTATTAATATTGTTAAGTAAAAAAAGAAACGTCCATGTAAGATGTTTTTAAATGTTTAGAATAAGATGAAGGCTTTTTTATTTTTCTTTTTTACAATGATTAAATATGTAGTGATTTACATGAGTAATAATTGTCTTCTTGCAGGTTAAGTTGTCAACTGGACAAACGATTGACCTTATACCCAAAACACAGCCAAAAGATATAACCGATGGAAAGGTCTATTTTAAAGGTTTGACTGGGAGGGGAATTTTCCAACTTCTATTACTAAATCTCAACCAATTGGTAAAGTTGGAATGTGCTTTCGCCTTGAGTAAGATATGATTCTTAACAATTCGTGAATATACCAACTACTCAACGGTTTGCTCGCGCAATTCTACCTCCAGAATTTTGTTACGAGCTCAGTTATAATTCCATACATCTTGAAATATTTACAATGTGTTGTGAAGTTAATTAGTTGGTTTTTAAGAAATTAAAGTTTCATTCTCTTATGGTGTATCTAATGCAACATTGTGGTGCTACATGTGATTCACATGAGTTTTGTGGAAGAAGACTCTTTGCAAAAGCAATATCAGAAATTTCTGCTTTTGATTCATGTTTTGTTAGTCTAGGTTTGCCATTAAGTGTCATTAATGTCAAATGCTTCATGTTTAAAACTTGTATTTCTCATGATAATGTCTTATTTTCAATTGTAAATTATGTTTATTCTTATAAAAATGTCAGATGTTGTACTTCTAATTTACATTGTTCTTTTATTTTCATGTACTATTCTTAAAGAATATATTTTATTCTTTCAAGAATGTTACATTATTTTCAAGAATGTTTTGCAGTTGTACTTCATGTCTTATTCTTCAAGAATGTCATCTATGAATTTATAATTTATTTTTTACTCTTCCATTCTCATAGAATGTTGTTTCTTTCAAAAAAAATATTTACTTATTGAACAACAAATAACGTATATTCTGAAGGAACGTATATTCTGAAGGAACAACAAATAACGTATATTCTGAAGGAATGAAAACACATAGTAAACTGATTTACATTCTATGTATGTACACTTTTAAATAACTTATATTCTGAAAGTAAATTGATTTACATTTTATGTATTTACATTCTATGTGATGGGCTGTACATGTAATAATGCGGAAAATATATTAATCTCTTAAGGGTACATGCAACCAAATTTTGGATCTATGTTATAACTCTATTGAAGCAACATACAATTGAACAGTAAAACTTAACCCTAGTTGAAATCAAAATTCATAAGGTTAATTGCATACCTATGTTTTGTTATTGTAAACAAACCTTTTAAACAATCCAATAGCTTCTTGAAAAACTAGTTTGAATTGTGTGCAAGTCTCTAATGGTTCACACCCACAACACAAGAACCCTAGAAGATTTAGGAGAGAGGGGAGAGGTATCAAATTTTCAGCCTTTGCCTCTTAGAATATCATCGCTGAAAATTGCAAGTCCACGGCTCTATTTATAGTTGATTATGAAACACCTAGAAACCCTTATTTGAACATAAAATAATATTATTTCAAAATAGATAATTATTTGGTTCCTAGTTTATCATCATGAAGACTTCCAGAAGGCTCCAAGAGAGCCTCCAAAACCGTCAACAACAGGAGGGTTCTAGAACCTGTCATCTGCTCAACTTTTGAACAATTACATCTACAGTCCTTCAACTTTTAATTAATTCTAATTAACCCAGAATTAATACCAAATTAATTAGGATTAATTATAACTATTTCTAATTAATATATTAGTCATATAATATATTGATAAATCATTTGTCTCTCTATAAAATCAATCTAAGCAATTTCTTGGTTATGAGGGCAAACCAAAAAGGACTTTTACTCTTATTCATCAACATTATACCAATTTAGTTAGGACCATAGACACCTTAATCCAACAGTCTCCCACTTGGATAAGTCTCTAATTACAATTGCTCGTACAACTCCAAATAACCAGTAAAGATTGTTTTTCAAGACACTACCAGACTTTATTGGTCCTAAGATAAGTGATCACATATTCCTTCGTTCTTCCTAATATCACATGAACATGAGACATGGATTAGAATCAATCTCCTGTCCAAGATTCTGTTTCCCGATAATCTCGTTTTGTGCTGACGTCATAAGACTACCAATCGAACACATCAATTTAGTCCTGGTTGGGCCCAACAGTATAATGTCAACATCAAAACAATGAGGGGCCCAAATATATCACTTTTCCTATTAAGGAAAAATGAACGAATAAACTTCAATTATATAATCATTCAATTTCACTTATTAAGTCATACATGGAAATACCCTTTATAGCACCCAGTTACAAGATGTGTTGGATACAACCAATTCGTAAAATATGACTTACATGTATATATGTTAAGAATAGAGGATATTATCGTCTTAGAATTGCTCGTGATTAAATACATGAATCAATCTCTAATCTTGGGTTCTTAAAATTTCTACTTCTAAGTACTCATGAATTTTGCAGCAATCCCAATGCAATGTCCATTCTCTATGGCCAATCTACAAACGATTCATGACAGTCTTAAATCAACACTTACTTTTAAAGTATGATCGACTGTGGTGCTTCGAATAACTTAATATTCAGGAAGTAGAACATGCAAAACAAAACGCAATAATAAATTAATTAACAAATAACATCAAAGACCTTGAATATAAATAATATACAAAAATCTCTATTAATTAATCACTATTCAATTACAATTTTAATTGCTATATAGTTTCAAAATAAAATCAACACTAACATCTAAAATCTAATATCGTCTCTTAGTCCAATGCTTCTAGCATGCTCAAAGTGCTTGACCTTGCTCAGACCCTTTCTAAGAGGATCAACAGGATTCTCTTCTGATGATACATGACTCGCCACAAGTACACCCTCTTCATCTTTATGTCTAACATAGTGATATTTTCTCTCGATGTGCCTAGATCTTCCATAATCTTTAGGTTCTTTTGTCAAAGCTACCGCACCCTCGTCGTTGCATAAAATCTCCATTGGTTATTGGATTCATGGAACGACTCCAGGATCCCCTATAAAATTCTTTAACCACATAGCCTCCTTAGCTGCCTCGCTTGCTATGATATACTCTGATTCACAAGTAGAGTCAGCTATTGTTTGTTGCTTGGAACTTTGTCATGTTACCGCTCCACCATTTAACAAGAAAATCCAGCCAGATTGAGAATAACTGTTATCTCGATCTGTTTGAAAATTGGCGTCACTATATCCATGTACATTAAGTTCATCTTTTCCTCCTAAAAAAACTAAGATCATATCTTTTGTTTTTTCGCAACTACTTAAGAATATTCTTCACTGTCGTCCAATGAGCTAAACTAGGATTTCCTTGATATCTACTAACCATGCTCAATGCGTAAGCCAGATCAGGTCGAGTACACATCATAACATACATGATCGATACTATAGCCGAAGCATATAGACTACGACTTATAATATCTATCTCCTTATCGCTATTAGGACATTGAGCATTGCTCAATTTAACAATATGATGCATGGGTAAGTCTTCATTCTTGTAATTTTCCATATTGAATCTTTTCAATATCTTATCCAAGTATATACTCTGACTTAATCCTAGAAAACGTTCCTATATATTCTTATAACAAGAATATATGTAGCTTCTCCTAGATCCTTTATAGAGAAACATTTCCCAAGCCAAGATTTGACCTCTTGCAATGTTGGAACATCGTTTCCTATTAGGAGTATGTCATCCACATACATAACTAGAAAAGTTACAATGCTCCCACTAGCTTTTACATACACACATGATTCATCTTCACTTCTAGAAAATCCAAACTCTTTGACCTTCTCATGGAAGAAAAGATTTCAGCTACGAGATGCTTGTTTCAGTCCATAGATAGACTTCTCAAGCTTGCACACCTTATTAGGGAATTTAGCATGCACAAAACCATCTGGTTGATCCATGTAAACATCCTCAGCCAATTTCCCATTAAAGAAAGCAGTTTTGACATCCATTTGTCATACTTCATAGTCATAGTGAGCAGCTATGTCAAGCATTACCCTAATTGAATTAATCTTAGCAACTGGTGAAAAAGTGTCATCATAGTCAATCCCTTGGGTTTGAGTAAAGCCTTTTGCAACCAACCTAGCTTTGTAAGTCTGTACATGACCATCCATGTCAGTCTTATTTTTGAATATCCATTTACACCCCACTGTCTTTCGACTAGGTGCTTGATCAACCAAGGTCCACACTTGGTTATCATATACGTATTGGATCTCACTATCCATTGCCTCTTTCCATTTAGCAGCCTCAGGGCTTACCATTGCTTCCTTGTAGTTAGCATGCTCATCCAAATTTACCAGTGTTACATCACCTTATGCAGTTATATGAAAACCATAGAATGAAGGTGGCATGCTAACCCTACTTGACCGGCGAAGAGGCAACGAGTTGTCAATGGGCTCAACAACTTCATTCTCAGGTTAAGAGCTAGTATCTTCAAAATTTGCTTCATCTGATGACTCTTGAATCTCTTCAAGATCAATTGTGCTCCCACTTCCCTCTTTGGAAATTAGCTCTCTCGCGCGAAAGACTCTTCTTCGAGCTACAAACACCACGTTGTCACTGGGTCTGTAAAACAAGTATCCAAAGGATTTTTATGGATAACCAATGAATAAACACTTCTTGGCTCTAGGTTCAAGTTTTTCAGAGGTTTCTTTCCTAACAAGAACCTCACAACCCCAGACCTTGATATGTGCGAGTGAGGGAGGTTACCCCGTCCATATTTCATGAGGTGTCTTAACAACTTTCTTAGTTGGAACAAGATTGAGCATATGGGCAGCTATTTCTAAGGCGAACCCCTAAAATGATATTGGAAGCGATGCTCGATTCATCATGGAACGAACCATATCAAGTAAGGTCTGATATGCCTCTCAGCTACACCATTCAGTTTTGGTGTCCTAGGAGGTGTTAATTGTGAAACAATTCCACATTCCTTCAGATAGTCGTTAAACTCAATACTAAGATACTAACCACCTTTATCAGAATGTATCATCTTTATCTTTTTGCCCAATTGGTTTTCTAATTCGTTCTTAAACTCTTTGAACCTTTCAAAAAATTTCGATTTATGTTTGATCAAGTAAATATAGCCATACCTACTATAATCATCGGTAAATGTAATGTAGTAGCGGTTTGCATCCTTTGTGGTAGATCTGAATGGTCCACACACATCCGTATGGATTAGGGCCAACTAATCTTCACCTCATTCACATGTGCCAGTGAAAGGTGATTCAGTCATCTTTCCTAACAAACAAGATTTGCATTCATCGCCTGGTTTTACTTCAAACGATTCCAATACTCCATCCTTTTGGAGTTGGGCCATGCGTTTCTTGTTGATGTGTCCAAGACGACAATGCTATGGGCATGACTTGTCTAAACTATTAGAAGAACCAATATTATACATATTGTTGTCTAATTCATTCACACAAATAATAGTTTCATACACACCATTATAAGGAAAAGATTTGAAAATAAATGCACCATTAAAATAAACTGAAA